TTTCCCAGATGAGCTAGACAATCTGTTCGAGTCAGTGTTTATTTATGAGTTCTGATGAAAAGAGATTATGAATTTTAGCGGAATTCATAATCAATTATGTTATTTTATTTAATATTAGTTATAAAGGCTGGTTGGAATGTATTTTCTGCTCGGTTCTTCGCCGAAGCAAAGTGGAACGTCGCCGAATGTGCGCACAATTTAAGCATTGACTAATACGCTAGCTAAGCAGATATTTAAACAAATATTGTAAAACATTTCGCAGATAATTTGGAAATAATCGAAAGCGTTGACAACTGGTGATACGTTGTAGTCGTTTACATGTTCATAATAAAGTGCCGTTTGTGACACTTTCCTTCCCGAGAGGTATATTTACATTTCTGAGTTGTCACACAGGAATAACTAATTGCAGTTTTTCAAGGATTTACCTACAGCTCAAGGATCATTACAGCGTTCACTTCCAACGAAATGCTATTCTCTTATGAACTCTGGAAGGAAACAAGCGAATCACCGGCACGCAGTTTAGGTTCAAACTCCGGACATCTCGGTTTTGAGTCCTACGCTTCACTAGCAAGCAACCCTGGATAAAGTGACGGTAGTGTTAGAAATTACAGTGATTCAACCGCTGACGAGATAAGTAAAGTAGTGCAAGGATTGACATGAGTATGTAGTATTATGACTTGACGTGTGTATGCAGTCGTTAAGTAAGTATACTGCAGAAACCACCCTCAATCACGCACTTCAGAGAGGATTACGATTATATTCCAAGCCATGAGCGCCATTGAATGGCAAATTTTTAACGTCGCACCTGCCACTTCAATCAACATTTCTCGCCGGTAGTTCTGGAACTATCGCAAGAATTTAATTGCAGAGTAATGGCTCATTCTTTTGTACTTTACGTGACCGTAGTACAATAACTAAACTATGGAGTTTCGTTTATAATTTTGTCAAAAGATTCACTTTACAATCAACGTAATTTTTGATTACTACAGTAGATGCAATGCCTTCAACAGAAGTTGAAAAAAGAATGAAGTGCTGAATTGAAGTTGACTTTATAGTTTATTGAAATGAATAAAATTTTTTTACTCGCCCAGCCACATTCGCTTTCAGCACAGAATGGTCCTACCATAAATACGAACAGAAATCACAGGATGCAGAAAACTACTCACAACGATATATTACTGCTGTCAGTGAATAAACCATTTACAAGCAGCTTTTCCTCTTCATTCAGCTGTTGCAGAAGGCTGGTGAGCCATGGTAGGAATGACTGAGCCATGTAGGTGCAGAGAGAGCCTAATAAAGATTCTGAATTCCTGCATGGATGGAAGTTGCCGTGATTAACTTCATGCGCAACGAGTGGTTGGAGTCAGACAGTGATGATTACGTCAGATGCTAAATTACTTTAATCGTTGTTATTGCGATTCGATTAAGTGTTTCATTGGCGCCTGTTCTACTGACACGAAAAATCATCATTACAGTTCTAAGTTCTCAATCGTCATTTCTGAGTAAACCAGCAAATATCACGGGCCAGCGTAAGCAAGATTGGTACTAGGAAGAAGAAAACAAAACAGATTACTAGCTCTCTAAATTGGCAGAGCGGCAAACACATCAGTCGCAGCAAATAATATGATCGCTTGTGCACGTTTCAGAACACCGAGAGAACACGATCCCCATGTATCTCACAAAGAATTAATAATTCGCCGTAATAACGATGAAATGGTGGACTATGATGAGTAGTTTCTAATAGCCGACAATCTTATTTAACAGCTCATTTGGACACTTTCTGCGATTTAATGTTATATCGTTGATTGTGGTCATAAATCGGCTTTATTTCTTGCGTTTTGCATTTTGAATAAACCAGGTTCACTTTGAATGGCCGAAATTAGAACCGAATCATGTGCATATCTGACACATGAGACTAGGCTGGCAAAACTAAGCGCAATCAGCTAGACATTGAAATGCAACGGGGACAAAACGGAACTTTCACAGCGCTCAGACTGTCTTGAGCCGTCAGTGAGCGACGTTTCTCTACAGCAACATACTAACGTCGATTTGAGAAATAATTCTGCAACCAGCTGAGTACGAAATTGGTCACAGCGGCATCTTTCAAACCGTTGAAAGCACATCTCGTGGCATAACGTTACATGCTAAGTAGAGGTTTATAAAAATAGCTAACAACAGTGCCTCCAGAATTGAGTGGTGAAATGAACAACGCCACGCAACAGCCTGCAGCATTGAGGATGGAGCGATTAGCCATCTGTCCTTAACACCCTCCAAGTTTGTCAGAAACAGTGTCCAAACGGGTTTCCAAAGCTTATGAATTCTTAGAGTTCGCTATCCAGGAAGCACGATATTACCATAGTATATTTTCCCAACCGTCAGACAAGAAAAATGCATAAACCCATGCACATGACCTCTGCAGTAACTGACTTGCAGACATATTAACTGATTAACTGTTAATCCTAATTTTAAAAATTATAAGCTCTGAAAAACGGTTATATTATAATTAATGTAGGATGTTTCAAATAGCTTTAAACGGCTGACACCTACGTCAAGACATCCGTAATATTTTTCCAGACATTCACGTAGTTCTCATTAAATTCTTTCTTGATTTCATTATATTTTTACCTTAAAGAGAAAAAGCGTAAAGTAAAGTGAGTAATCAACATGCCTCCTTTCCTATGATACAGTGAAAAGTAGTTTCATCGCTGATCAACGAGGTTAGAATGACTTAGCGTCAATCTACTCGCGACCACTATGATCACTATCGCGTTGTCTATGAATGCATCTTTCGGGCGATAACTCTGATGACGCCTCGTAAAATGAGATTAACCACTGCTGGACATCCAAAGTAATCGAACGAAGCGTAAATCAATTAATAGCAAAAATCGCGAAACTTCGAGCATATTGCCATCTGATTGTTGAGTTCACTCTAAGTCGGTGTAGGGGACGTTTTCCATGCTTCAGCCGCATGAGCTTCAGGTTATCTCACGACGTCTGATGAGTAATCGCGCAGGACGAGATGATCTACACCATTACACCTCTTCACTAACGATCTGTCAATTATAACATCAGCTGATGCAGCTTCAATTAAGAGCTGTGCCTGGTTTTGCAGGTACCAAACGTATATTCCCAATATTTCTCACAATTCAGAAAAAGCATATTTGTGGAGAACCAGCAGAAGATATCAATCGGGTTTCCATGGTGGGCACTATTAGAGGTACCCTTTTACAGTACAGCTTACTGCAGAATGTCGATACGTAATTTGATGTCACCAGCAGTGTGTACTGCATCCAGCAAAGCATTGCTACATATGGTAAACAGCGTGAAATTCATTTTTGTCTTAGACGTAACAGTTGTCGC